CAAAGATTACTTGGTTTTCTAGGATAAAAAGAAAGAACACAGTAGAGTAATAAATATATCACTTATTCTAATACAAATATTTCATTCCAAAGTTAAAAATGAGAACATCTTCATATGACCTAGGGAGTTCTGGTGACATAGTCCATATCCAGTTGTACTAATCATCCGAAGACTATGTCTCCATCAGTTCAAATCCATCAATAGCCCTGAAGGAACACGACAGGGAATCTCCACCCATTATGAGTTTCAGCCTTGGCAACTCAATGGAAGGTCAACTATGATTCAGAACCGCCTTGATGTTGGTGTTTCATTGTCAAAATTTTTAAAACTAAGATTAACTTGTAAATCACAATGGCTGGTAAAAGTGCCCACTGTAATCGAAAGTCCGACTTCTCAAAAAAAAAAAAAAAAAAAAGAAAGTCCGACTTCTGAGGCTTTTAGTTCAATGATAATCATACTATTAGATAAAAAAATTAAATAAAGTCAACTTCTCATGTACATATGAGAAAGAATAAAAACTAAACTCATGGTCTAGAGATGTATACTTCATTGCATTCAAGAGTTGTGTCATTATCACAGGTAATAATGAACATGCCTCCTCTTTCCCTCCACCTCTTTTGGCATGTTTTCCCTTTCTACCTTGTGCTCACGTATTAGCTCTCTGGGCCTTTACATGACTCAGATGATCATAGTATTTATTTAACTTATGGTACATCAGAAATAATTTCAATTTCTCTTTCATTCAGTAGTTGTTGACTAATCCAAATAACTCATATCTGACCCTCAGCAGGCTTCTGAGACTATAAAGTGCATGGGAAAAAAACAATAATCCATTTTTCTTACAAGGAGCTATTATTGGTGGATTCTATTCATCAAAGACACAGTGTTGGGTTAGCAGCGCAACTCTACACACATTATGTCACCAGAGTTCTGCAAGTATAACCAAAAGTACATCTAAATTTATGATATATTATCTATAACAACAGTCTGAAGAAAAAGGACTAAAAGAACATTTGTCTCCTCTACTTCACATACACTACAACTATTATCAATTAAAAAAATTACTTCCTTCTCTTATAAAGTACTTTCAAATCCCCAAAGAAAAGCCATTTTGTCTATGTTGTTGCTGAGTCAGAACCAACTCAAAGCTGACTCTCGAGTGGGTGTTCAGAGGCTGTAAATATAATGGGAGTAGACTGCCTGTCTTTCTCCTGCAAGTGGATTTGAATCACAGGTCTTTGGGTTAGCAATGCAACCCCTTATCTACCAGAGACAGAAAATAATACTGCCATCAGTTTCAAATAGATTCAGCTTTGACCAAAAATGTAAAACAGACCCAAATTTTAAATTTTGTGTTATGTCCAATATTACCTGGAACAAGAAACGAGAAAGATGATGGTCAAAGTTCTGGCATGGGAAGCCTAAACAAGGTGCTTTTTCAGAAGCCTGATATGTGACAATGGATTGTTGCCAGTATTATGGAGAGTAACACACACTCAAAGAAGAGCAGTTAGTTACCATCTTTGAGCCAGGGCACTGCTTTTTTTTTTTTTACTCAGCCAGTCAAGAGATTTGGTTTCTATGCAATATGCATGCTGCCCATGTTTGCTAAGGAGGAGAATAAATTTCTAGTAGAGCTTTAACAGATAATTTTTCCTGTTCTGGTTCTTTTTTTTTTGGCAAGGCAGAACTAGTTCAAAATCCTGGTTCTCATCCTTGTAAAACAGAATGGGGTAAAGAAGATGTGTGTTGGAACTAAAATAGATGGTCTGACACCTCATGTGGTTATTTCTATGACTTGCAAATATTACCTTCATAATCTTCAATTCTGCCTTTATTTTATATTCTGGACTTAGTTAACAAACTCTATTGGAAGAGAATCTGGACACCACTGTACGAGATGACCTCTTGTAAGTTTAAGTCACTAGTATTTCAAAAGAGCATTGGTGGCCTTGAGGCAAGAAGCTGCAATCTCAGAGGCAAGCAGTTCAAATCCACCAGTTGTTCCACGTGAGAAGGATGGGCAATCTCCTCCTGTGTGATGAACTGCCTCTAAGAACCCGTCAGAGGATCAGCTACGGATTGATTCCAACTCGATGGTACACACAACAACAATCTTTCAAGTTAGGTTAATTAAATTTATTCATACCAATTTTCATGTGACTCCTAGTGACCCTACAGGATAGAGTAGCATTGCCCTCATAAGGTTTCAAAGGTTATAAATCTTACCAAAGCAGAGTGCAATGTCTTCTCCCACACAGCAAATGGTGACTTTAAACCAGTGACCTTTTGAATAGCAGTTTAGTACTAAACCACTCAACCATCACCAACTTATAAATGAAATATTGTAGGCCAAGCATCTAAATAACTTCAGCTACCAAAACCATTGAACTGCATATTTTCTTCTGTCACTGCATAAATCTAAAATAACTTTCTAGAAAAACAAAGGTATTCAAATGCATTAATTACATAAAAGATAGCATAAATGTTTAAAGAGCAATTAAAGTTGAAAAAGTTATAGATAATAAAGGCCATTTACATCTGTGAAAGAAATGTTAAAATTATTCTGTGTAGATTTTAAAACAATGAGAAAAGTCCTAGTTTAATCATAATCCTATTTTTTTTAAATGCAGAAACTCTAATTTTCTGTATTCAACTCTTACTAAATTTTACTGTCATTTATATAGTCAAATTTTCTTTTTAAAAGTAGTTTCCTTTCCTAAGCCCCATGTACTTTGGTTTCCCTAACCATCACATTACTTAAAATAACTGCCCCTGACTCAGGCCTGGCAGAATACCTCTTTAACAAGCACACCCTGGGAGACAGTGATGGCGAGACCTGAGCGAAGCTTTAAGCCCAGCTTCCCCACAGCCACAGGGTTGACTCCGTGGTCACTACTAGCCCACCTGCATATTTTGTTTACCTTTTCTGTAAATTGTACCAAAATACCCAAAACAAACAAACAAAAAAACCCTTTTCAAGGTCACCAGAAAACCTGTCAATACCAAACTCACTATTCACTTCTTTCCTCTGGAGCTTTACCAGTGTTCATCACACTCTTACCTCCTTTGGCTAGACTGCTTAATTTTCCTGGTTCACCTAATTACTTCAAACATTAATTGACATGTTAATTTTGGCTGGAAGCCCTCTCAGATAAGAAACTGAGTCAGAAGGTATCCCTCTCCAACCTGTTACTTACTGTGTTTACCTTATGAAAGGATGTAACTTTTAAGAATATCTTTTGTTTATTTGCCCAACTAATCTGTTACTTATTTCAAACATTAATATTAATTCAATATTAATTAAAATGTAGAGTACTGTCAGGCAATGATAATGAATAAAAGAGGAAGTTCACCATCACCAGTTATTTCAAGTCTCCAGTGATGATTTTCAACTCTAATTTGTTGAGACTAGAGTTTTTCTAGATAGTATCTAGGGGCATAGGGCAGTTCTACGAAGTCACAAATAATCAAGAGAGACTCAATAGCAGTAAATTTGGTTTTAGTTTTGTGTAATTTGGGAGAATTTGAGCCTTTATATATTACCTTACAGAAATACTTAAAAAACTATAAAATCGATTAAAAATGTCAAATATAAAAGACTTTTTAAATAGTTAAAATGTAAGTGGTTAGTATTTTTATTTTTAACTTCACTTCTTCAAATTTTGACATTTCTTCACCATCAAAAGATAGTATTATAATCACTTTCCCTCACACTTATATTAAAGCAAATCCCACAGCTGAAATCTTAGGTGGAAAGAAGGGGTTTTTTGTAAGCCTATCTTATTCTACTTATTTCTTCAAAAGCGGAAAGAAATAAATTGAGATCAGGAATATTTAAAAACTTAAATTATCCAAATTGCCCAAACCTAAATATTTAGTTAAAATTATGATTAGAACATGGAAATTCACTTCAGCACTTTATCTACTAAAGGACTTGTTTTCTATTTAAGAGTACATAATCCTTTAAAACATAAGTCCCTTCATACCTCTTCTTTCTAGACATTTGTACATATAAACAAATTAGTTTTGTTTCTTTAAGAAGTCACATAAAATTCTAAGCTAAACAACAAAAAATTGTCAATTTTTATATAAATATAATACTGGCGTCAAAGACCTGGTATATTCAAAGTAGAAGGAAAAAAAAATCTGCTTAACTATTAGAGAATATAAACAATGATATTTATAATAATGGTAACAAAAATAAGGGTGTTGGTTTTTGGGTTTTTTTTTAAGTATTCTGAAACATCTTAAAGAGTGAATCAAAAGTAGCTAAACACTTTTATACTGTAAATATAATTTACCTATAGCTAATAAAAAAAGGGGCCTTCATAGAAAAATTACATTTAGTTGAGCCTAAAGTTAGAAGCTTCAACGTAAATAATCTTAATTAAAAACATTTTAAAGATACTTTTGTACTGTTCTGTGACTATGAGCCAGTTTTGACTCACAACGACTTTCTGTACAATGGAATGAAACACTACCTGGTATGTGCTCTCCTCACAGTCACTGCTATGTTTGAGCCCACGGTTAAAGCCACTATGCCAATCCACCTCATTACAACAACTCATTTACTAAAGAAAATCATCCCAATCAAATCACCCCATTTTCATATTTTATCACTATCCACATACTAGATTTAAGAATATCCAATAAGTGAAAAGTCTTTTCTTATGAAGAATCTGGAGAGTTTCTTAAAATTTAGTTAAATGATTTAGGTAATAGGGAGAGGGTTAGAGGGAACCAAAATAAAACCACCCTGAAATCTGTTTTTTTAAAATCTAGATGAAAACCAATTATGTTTATTGGCCTAAGCAATACCCAATTCTTCCAGTAACGGTAAAACAGGAAAAATCAGGAATGCAAAAACAAGCTTTAAAAACCAAACCAGGAGAAGGAATTGCAAGCTTTTATCCTTTCTCTTCCCTTCCTTATCCTCAATACCCTGATATTTACCCTCTGAAATAGTCAGTGCTAGCCTTAAACTACCAGATACTCACCGAGTTAGGGTAGTTCAAGTAGCAGATCTGACAAGGCATATCCTGTGCCGATGACCTTGTATTCATCTGGCGTGTTCGAGACTTTTTACTTGGATTAATTACATGACACTCAGCAAAGAGCTTCTCCAGGTTTCCATCAAAGTACCTGCATTATTTAAACAGAAAGGATGAGAGCCCAGCAATAGCACACTGTTAGAGCTCTCCAAAAATTTGATTTTCTAAAGGGAACAGCAACTATATGAATTAAAATACACCAAGATCATGTCTTGTTTTTCCCCCCCCTCAAAAAAAAGTGTGTCATATAGCTATAAAATTACAGTGAATAGGTGTATATGTATGAATTTAAAATGGATTTTTGTTGCTGTTTTAATTTTTTGCCTTCATTTTAAAATAAGGGTACTAGGAAATGAAGCTACTAGTATTGTAAGAGTACTGTTGATGAAAATTTTTGTGCTATCTCTTGAGACAGCTCATATAGAGTAGTTATGGTATTTTTTAAAAGTTAGGCAGTATTTTCTAGTAAATTAATTACTTTTACTAGGATCTGCCAAAAGATTATTTCTTAAACTTAGTAATTTACCATTAAATCTAGCAATCAGTCAACTAAAAATATTACATCATCTCATTCCAAATTGTTGTTGTTGTTGTTTAATGCCGTCGAGTCGTAGACAACTCATAGCGACCCTGTCATTCCAAATAGCCATATTTTTAAAAACTATTTTTTTCTAACAGCCATGTTTTTTAAGTACATTTTTTGAAATAATTTATTACTGGCTGGGAAAGGGATGAATAAAAAATATACATTAAAACTTTTTTATAAATTATCTATGTACTACCTACCTTTAAATAAATATTTTTTATATATATAGATAGATATAATTAGTTAGTTCAAGATCTAAGATATTATCTTAGCTACATCAAGTACTAGCTATAAAATTCTAATTAAATGGCAAATGTATTTATTGTCAATAGTGGTAAATACCAGGCACTCTACTTCCCATTAATCTAGATTAGACTCGGACCTGATGACTTCAAATATCTTAAGCTTGTAAAGGGAAAATCAGTAGGCATAAACTTTTTCAAACTGAGAGTAAACATGACCAGCAAAAAAAATACATGCACATTCTGGTCAGTTATTTTCTGGTTTGTAAACCCAAGTTTCAATAACTGTAAACTGTTGCTCAAAATTAAAAAATTACCAATACTCAAATATTTTCAAGATTTTTTAAAACGAAGCTCTTCTAAAAATTTTATGTCCAAACATTTACTAATTTATAGAAAAATTACTCAAATGAGATTCTCCCCAAGACTTTTAAATGTAATTTTATACAACACAAATTACCAACCCAAATGACACCGATCATAAAAGAAATTGATAAAATTTGAAGTTATCTCTAAGTAAGTAAGCTATTCATTGGATACATATAAAGCACAAAATTAAATGCTTTACCACTAATTTTATCTGTGAGAAAACCTAAGATGCTAAGTTTATCTGAATGCAGAAAGCAGAACAAACTTATAATGGGAATTAAACAGCTTATTGTGATTAAAAAAAAACCCCAAAACAACCACAAAACCTACTCCACGCCTATACTCAAAAGAAGGCATAAACTTACAGCATGCAAAACATGACTACAAGGAACTAACAATTTGAAATACTTGGGTAAACATTCTAGACAGCATTACATACATGCATAGCCACACAAATACATGTTATGTATATAACATCATATTCCGAGGGAGCTCTGGTGGCCTAGTAATAAGAATCTGTGCTGCAATCCCGAAGACACACAATTTGAATCTGCTAGCTTCTCCATGGGAGAAGTACAATCTCCTGGGAGATTAAGGGCATCTGAAAACCTGCTGGAGGTTCAGCTAGTGGCAAGTTCCAATAAGGGGATACATAATAACACATCATCATATTACAGTTGTATAAGAGTCCTCCTCCCCTACAATATCCAATAGATAGCTCTGTCAACGAACACAGGTCAAAAAGTACGATTCCTTTGTATAATAAGGGGCTCTGCCTGCAGATCAATAGTTGTGCTGCTAGCCCAAAGGCCATGCCTCTCAGTCAATCAAATCTTGTAGATGCTTTTTGGAAGAAAAAGATATGTAATCTACTCTTGGATGATTAGAAAACTCGCTGGGTGATCAGCTATGTTCAGTCCTGACTTGATGGTACTGAGAGTTTTTTTGAGAGTTTTAACTGATACGGTAAGAGAAGGGGTGGAGGCTGTTGGGGCCTCTCCTACCAATATGCCCAAAGTATATGAAACAAAGCTTTGCCATCCTTGGCTCCAAGGTGAACTGTGGGTTTACCTTCTCCAAAACTTACGTTTGTTCTTTTTGGCAGTCCATGGAACATTCAGTACTATTCTCCAAGACCAAAACGCAAAGTGTGTTTTTAGGGGCTGAAAACCACACTAACAGTGAGCTTAGCTGTGGAGTCAGGATTCAAAACAAAAGGTTCCAAAGGCAAATAAATACAGGGAAATGGCTAAGGACATTTTACCTCTTCTTTTGGGCCTGTAAGCACATCTGTGTTCAAGGACTCAAAGCTAGGCAAGTTGGTCAAGGCTCATCAATCATCTCAAATGCCTGTCTGGCCCTGCACCAGAGGTTTGCCTTGCTCCAAAGTGAAGCACAGCCTACAGTACTCTCCAGAATCACCACGGCCCTATACCAAGGATTTGGGATACTTGAAAATGTAGGGTTTTCCTCCTCCTCCTAACAGCAAAATGAGCATAGTAGCTAGCAGCACAACTCCCAGAACGGACCTCACCTAAATTTATACTTTGGTTCCTAATCTTGATGTCTTTGAGCTGTGGTGCTGGAGAAGAGTACTGAATGTACCATAGACTGCCAAGAAAACAAACATTCATTCTGGAGAAGCTCAAACTGGGCTGCTTCTTGGAGGTAAAGATTCTGAGGCTTAGTGTGACATACTCTGGACATGTTGTAAGGAGGGAGAAGTCCTTGGAGAGGGACATCATGCTTGGGAGGGTGGAGGGACGGTGCAAGAGGGGAAGACCCTCTCTGAGGTGGACTGATTCAGTGACTAGGGTTATCAGGGTGGGTGTGTCAGACAGTGGGGATTAGCATAGGAGAGAGCAGGGTTTAGGGCTGTTGTACATAGGGTCGTTTTGAGTAGCAAGTGACCTGAAGGCACATAACAAAACAACAACCTTTCTGATTGGTTGGGCCTGAGGGCTTAAGTGTTATTATATTTTGGAGGATCATTCTTCTAAGTTGTAAGTCGTGTGTCAATTTGCTGTACTGTGGTAATCTGGGTTTGCTATGATGCTGAACCATGTGCCACTAGAGGAGATCAAATGCCATAATGGTTGCCCATGGTGGTCAGTGTTTAGTGGAGTTTCCAGTTTAAGACAGATTTGGAAGCAGAAGTGGCATCTACTTCCTAAACCACATGCCTCGACAGTGTATAGAAAGGCTTCAGGCCTTTTGTTCATAGGGTTACTATGAGTCGTGCTCGAGTCAACAACAATATGCACTCTTTTATAGGATTTAACATATTAAAATAAAAATTCAGTAGCTTTCAAGTTGACTCTGGCTTATGATGGCGCCATATGTGTCAAGAGCACTGTGAGTACCACAGGGCTTTCTATTTTCTGCAAAACAGATCATGAAGTCTTTGTTTCAATGTCTCTAGTAGCTGTCAAACTCCAACTTCTCAGCAGTGCATACCACCCAGGGACTCCACGAATTACGTCAGTTAACTCTGTAATTACTGTTTTTATTTAGTCTTTTCTGCTAGGATGTAAATTATATGAAGAAAATAATGTCTAGAAGCATATTATTACTGAACACTTCCCCACCCAGCTTCCTCTCATTGTCGCTGAGTAGGAAATCACTCCTAAGTGACCCTCCAGTGGGTTTGCGGAGGCTGTATATTTCACAGAAAAAGACTGCCCATCTTTCTCCTATGCAACAGTTGGTGGATTCAAACCACACATTTAAGGGCTGGCAATGCAACTCCGCATTCACTAACTCATCAGAGCTCTTAATACAAGTATTTCAATTTCTTGTTAAGGAGTAATTAATCTAACGAATTTTAACCAGTCTCATGTTTCAACTTTACATATATAACTTATTTTCAGACTTTCCATTCTATTCTGATGCTTTGTCTATTTTTGCAGCTTTCAAGTGATCTGGACTTTTAATATAGTTAAACCTTAAGGGAGAGTGCCCAGTTCTGATTTTTCTTCTTTGTTGCTGCTGTTGGATACCAGAGGAACAGGTAATGCTAACAGGCAGCAGAAGCAGAGCTTAAAAAAAAATCCTAAAACAGAGGACACAAAAATGCTGGTTTTACAGGATATTCTAGCTACAGTTAGATGGTTTGTCACCTTTATTGGTGGATGTCCATATCTTGGTTTTAATTATTTCCATTTACAAGTTTTTTATACATGAATTTTAATCTGATGTTGTGTACCACAGAACTAATTCAGAAGGTTTACAGAGGGAGTAAATTGCAGGGAAGAAGAATATCTTTCTTTCATGGGGCAGCTAATGTATTAAAACCATGTACTTTGCATTGGCAGCGCAATTCCTTACAACTAAGCCACCTGAGGTCCCTAAGTACTCAGTAGGTGCACAGAATAAAAACTTATTTACACATACACATTTCTTCCCTTCAAGGAGAAAAGACAAAGCGACATTCTTTTTTCAAGAGTATTCTGTCTCCACCAAATGACAAGAACCATTTTTATTTTAAAAAAGTAGTTTCTGTATCTTTTTAAAAGTAATCTACTGTTTCTCAACTCTGCTCAATGATCTTTCTTCCCTCTTGCTATATACATCAGAAGCACAAATTAGGGAAGAAAAAAGAAAGCTTATGACTCACATAATAGTATTACTATTGAAGGGGAAAATGGTTTCTTCTAGCACATAAATGGATTTTAACAACAACTACATGCTACAACTAACATTAAGTGTTTAAACCATAAAGTATCATTTTATACTGCTCACTTACACACTGAGCAACCAGATGGAGGAACAGTGCTTGTTTAGTGGTGGTATTACTGTTATGTCAGGGAGATAGAAATGAACAATCATTTGCAACATGACAAAAAATAAACATCAAGTTTGAAAAACTAGGAAGAGAATGTTAGTGAAGCCCAA